TTTTTATAAGTCCGCGTCCCTGGGGGGAATCTTGTAGGTTCAAAAAGGGCATTTTTGTTTGGAAGATGGAACAGTGTATGTATTGTGGCTTGCTCCCTGGAAGATGCAGGCCGACAGTAAGAGACTGCTTCTCACATGTACCATGCAGAGTCCCCTCCGAGGGACCTACAAACTGAGGGCACCCCACCCGACTCTCTCCTCAGATTGGCTGCTTCGTTTTCTCCCTCCTCCTCCTCCTTTCCCCCTTGCCAATTAATCACTTCATTTTCATGGAACAGCCAGGCCCCTACCCAACCGTTTCCATGAATACTACCCCCTAGATGGCAGTCGGGGAGCAAAGGGAGCGCGAAGGCCTCTCATTTCCTGGCACAGGCCAAAGAATAAACAGTGATATTCCAGCCTTTAATCCTGTTGCCGTGGAAACCCAGATCCCAGCAAGGGAGGAGAGAGGGGGGTGTGCCGGTCAGGATCAGATGGCACTGACGCTGGGGATGTGCCTCGGCTGGGCCTGGCATGGCGCCACCGGCCTTGCTGCGCCTGGACATTCTTGACATAGCTGTAACTCCGACTGGGAATCAGGGTTTCCTGGCAGGGCTGGGACAATAGGCCAGAAGGGCTGGACAGGGGCAGGGCTTAAAGAGCCCATGCAGCGATTCTTTTCCTTTCCATTTGCCCTGCTTGGGTGAGAGTGAAGCCACGGGGCTAGAACTACAGCAGCCATGCCACAGGCTGGGGGAAAGGCCTGACTCCATGTGTATCTTCCTTTCTTTTTTTCTGGCTGCCTCCTTGTTTCCCTGGCGGGGCTCCTGTGCTTTGTAAGACTTGTATGAGAAGCACACATTCAACCGGCAAAGTACAGGTTTGAGGGAAGCTTTATCACAGAACCTTTGGACCACCCTTCAGTATTTAAAGGCACAAGAGGTAGCTTCCCAGGAAGAAACCCTATTCTCTCCGCCGTGGCCTAATGAAATCATGTTTCACTTTGGATTAAATTAGAGGGGAGATGTGATCTTCTTTGAGAGAACTGTGTGGTTTCCCTGAACCTGGCACAAGCCTATGGTATACACGTGCCTGTTCCCCATTGTGAAAACCATTGCTTCCTCTGCCCACACCATTGAATCAAGAATTAGACTGCCAGACTGCTTCTCCTATCTGCAAGAAACATGTTTGCTATGCTCAGATGTCATATATTATTAAGGAACCGATTGATTATTCATCTGCTTTGTGTCTACGAAGTGTGGATTAATCCCCTGCTTGATTAGAGGATGGAGTGTGTATTAATTCCCTGAACATCTTATGAAGTGTCCCTCTTGCTATTTCGGTGTTCAAGTGGATGTTCCTTTATTGAATTCTCATGGGACAAGCCAGTGTGGAGTAATGGTTCTGGACTAGGACCTGGAAGACCAGCATTCAAATCTCCACTCAGGCACAAAGGCCACTGGGTCACTTTGGACTAGTCACTGTCTCTCAGCCTAACCAACCTTGCAGGGTTGCTAGGAGGATAAAATGGAGAGGGGAAGAAGTGAGCCCTCTGTAAAAAAGGGAGGATAAAATGTAATAATAAATGAGATTATTCATACATTCATCTCCATGTTATGTTTACTCACATACACCTCTGTTTCTTCCTCCATTCGTATTCTTTAATAACAAGAAACTAAAATAAACTGAAAATCTTACCCCTACCCCCAAAAAAAATTTAATTACACCCAAACAAATAAATCTTACTCAGCCCGAAGACTTGGAGAAAGGAATTGTCACCCAAAGATGTGTGTGTTCATGTGTTCTTTCACACGAAACAATTTTAAATCACATTTGAAGTTTGGTGACTGCATTTCTCTGGCCTTTTTTAAGGATGTGGAGAATGATTCCTAGTCTATTTAGAGGAATACTGCCTCTGACAGTGGATTTAGAACATAACCTTATCTTCCAGATTCAAAGCCTGATAACATTTATACAGCTGCAGATTTTTTCAATCCAGCAGAAGATAAGTCAGAAAAGGCATCCTTGGCCTTGTCAGCCAAGTCTTTCCCAAGTCTGTTGTAATTGATCAGTGCGCCAGGTACGCTGCTAAGCAAGCAGGGAAGGAGCAACAGGTAGGAGATTCAAAAGTATATGGAGGTGTCCTCAGCTTTCCTGGCAACCTCATTTTCAAGGGAATCAATCAGCCTGATTTGTGGGTGTTTGCATAATAAAGTAAAAGTGAACAGGCGAGAGAGAATCCTTTAAGGATGGATAGAATCAACAAGCAGCTGGAGGAGAAAAAGAGGAGAGGGCTAAGAAAGAGCTGTGAGCGGAGGGGGGTTCCTTTTCCCATCTTCTGGACCGCCTGGGAAACCCAGCAAACCTGCTGTACCTGGAACTGGGTGTGGAGAGTGCAGCTGAATGGGACACAGCCTTGGGCAGCCTGAGGAAGTACCATCCACCTTGGGCCTGCCCATAAAAAGCAAGTCTAGAGTGAGAGACTAGAGTGAAGTCTGCTGTTTGCAGGAACTTCTTGATGTGAGGCCTTTGTGGGTGAGCTGAGTGTTTTTCTGTTGTTGCTACTCTTTTGAATACTGCTTAGAGACATTAAGTGGTATAGAAATTAAATAATCAAATCAAAATGAAATCAAACCTCCACATGTTTACCTGAGTGGTGATGGTGGTAGTAGTAGTAAAGGGGGGCAGGTAAATGCCATAATAAGCAGGGGCATTCACTATTATGGGCAGGTAGGAATGGATTGCTTTCTGCATTAGCCAAATTGTGATCTGCCCTACTGTTCCTGTGGCTGGAATGCACAAATAGATTAGGGAATAAGTTCCAGGAATTCATTGTGCTCTGTGCACACTAGTGGCCATTTAGGAAAAATAAATAAAGGGGGCACCAGCAGAAAATAAATGGTTTGTGTGTGCATTTAAATGTATCATCATGAGCTTTTAAAGGAAGAAAGTAAATTGTGATGAAAGGACAGGCTGGCGAAACCAGAGAAAATGAACTTTGAAAGTGGCACCTGTCTAATATGCAGAGTTACAGAGAGCAATGCAGAGAAGGTGGGGAAGATTACAACTTGGTGGGGTGGGGGCAAGAAACACCCGTCAACCATGCCTGATTCAGTTTCATGTAAAGTAGTTTCTATGGGTTTACCTCTACACTGTGCTTACAGAAGGCTGCTTCTTTGTCATTTGTTGATGAAATGGGAGATTGGGCTTCTCCCTCGGGATTAATCCCATTGTGTAATCCACAGAGGTTATGCTTGTACAGGGACGCGGACTTATAAAAAATATTGGGGGGGCCCGGGAAAGCTCATGAATAATAAATAAGCTCATGAATATGCAAATAAAGTGGCGCCGCCTCCTCGTGAGCGAATAGGGGAGAGCGTGCTGCGCCTATTAATCAGCTCCAAAGGAAATTGGGTGGAGCTTTTGCTCGGGAGGGAGGGCAGGAGGCATGCAGCCCGCCCCTCCCTGTGCATTTTGGGCTGGGGGAGGGGCGGCGATGGCGCTCTGCTGGAGGGGCGCCGGAGATTATTGGGGGGGCGGAGCCCCCCCAAACGAATTTTTGAGGGGGCTCAGGCCCCCTCAAGCCCCATGGAGTCGGCGCCTATGTGCTTGTATTAAGGTGGCTGCATGCATAAACATAGCACATCATACACACCTGAATGCACAAGTGGGAAAAGGCCAGGACTTCTGCTGGACCCATCAGAGGACACCTCTTCCACTCCCATTTCTTTAACAAATACCAGAATGATAAAGCAGCAGCCTTTTGCAAACACAGCGAAGGGAGCTGACAGGCAGCCTGCACGTCCTTCCGCAGAACTTTCCACTGCCCTTGAAAAGCTCCCCAAGCTAAACAAGCTATCTTATCGCACCTCCCAATGGTCCAGCCATAAGACACTAGGAACTAGAGCTAGATTTCCCTCAGCCATTGCATGAAGCTCCGCTGAAAGTTTATACACCCAAAGGAATGTATCTTTGTATGTGCTTGCTTCTGGGAAGCATGGGTGTGTTTGCTTTTGGTGCTTTACCTTAAATGACACAGTAGACAGGCAAGTTGGGGTGCTGTATCCTTCGCCTGGCCACGCCTTTCACACTGCAGCACCTTCTCATATGTCCTCCTGTGAACTTCTTTCTAGTCCCATTACACCTGGGCCAGGGTAGGCTGCAGGAATAGGGAAATGGCAGGCGGTGACTGGGCTCAGTGCTTTCAGACTGCCTGATCTCTGCTGGTAACTTGCTCCAAACAGCAAGCTGCCTTGATCCAATCACATCAGATCACTGGTCCATTTCACCTGAAAGGCTCTAGGCAGATAATCTTTTATATCACCACCAGGGATTGAACCTGGGACGTTCTAACACTGGAGCCACCAGGGATTGAACCTGTGTTCTCTTGTCTCTGAGCTAAAATCCCTCACGTGCCACCCTATCGTCTAGTAGCTGGCAGATCTTCTGGCCTTGCTTCAAAGTGTTGCACCAGGAGCACAAAGAATAGCACTACATGCAACAGCAGCAGAACCTTGACTTCAGTCACACAGCAACACTGCTTTACTGCTGTTTCATAGCTGTGTGTGCTTGAAGACAAAGCTGTTGCTGCTATCATAAGTAGTTCTGTCCCTTGTGCTCCCAGTACTGTGCTTTAGAATTAGCCACATCTACCAGAGAACTCCCTTCCTAAGCAGAAAATTGTGGACAGTCATTCCCAAAGTGCATTTTGCATGCTTCCTGCAACATGACTGCCCCAGGATTCAGTAATTAATGGTTACAAAGAGATGATACCTTTCCTGACAATAACTGGGACCCCTGCCTGGCCAACACCAGCATGAAGAGTTCCCTTGTTTTACACAAGGATGCTGCAATGTAGCTGCCTGCCCTTTCTAGCAGTGCAGGACTGTAGCAGAGATTAAGGTATCTCCTCAACTTTTCTGATGCTGTTAAGAGGATGGCAGAAGCCATGTTCAGGATGCATGTATCTTTTGAATGTTTGGGAGTAGGGTGGAGTGGAAGAAAGAGAAGGTAGTCAAGCATTTCATTTAAAAAATAGTGCCTTTTATTATAAATTAATGAACGTCATTTTTAAAATCCATTGACTATAAATATAAATAGATGTGCAAAGTTTTCTTCCAAGTTTTGATTTTTTTGGTTGAGTCTTCAAGCATGTCTAACAGCCTGCAAGGCTGAAGGGTGGAATCTTTATAAAAGACAGAATGATATTTTTTTTAAGGCAGGTCTGTAAACATTTCTTTCTGTAAAAACAAAACCTCATCTGCCCTTCTAAAACCCTGATATGGAAAAATAAGATGAACACACAAAATTTTGGTTACAGTTTTTTTTGGTTTTTCCTTTTTACAAAAAAATAATAAGAGTTCCAGGTAATTCTGTTGTTGCTACATTCCTGTATGTTTTTCGGTTATTCAGTGCGATTTAGGGCCCAAGCAAATCCACAACCTCTGTGTAGATACAAGACCATTCTTTGATGAGCTGAAAACCCAAGAATAAAGGCAAGAGATTATCAGTCTGGGCGCAGGAGCCAAAGCTGAATAACGCTTTGGGGGAAATGGCTAGATCATTCATTATCCATTTAGGTTTTCTAAAAGCAGTGGTGCCAATTTTGTAAAATGATGTCCTCCATTGCTTGCACAGAGAGTATATGGCATTCCCCCATGCAGTGTGCAGTAACAACCCAGGTCCATGGGATCAGAGGATGTGGAGTTTGTTTTAAGGCTTAGTCCCCTGTATGGATGTGCGGCAGTTCCTTTGAGGAAGAGGCTTTGGATGAAAAGATATTCTGCCCCTCCAGGAGGTTGAGAGAGGTAAAGATGAATAACAATATAAAAAGGTTTCCCCTTAAAACTGAGGAAAAGTCGGTCTTCAGGCACTAGCTGGATTCCAGTGCATTAGTTTCATTGTCTCTGCAGAATGGTTTTGGTCAAAGGTTACTAGAGGTGGTCTGGGCCAGTGCAGAGCAAATGCTCTTTGTAAACTGTCCATGGGTTAGGGAGGGTTGCAAACCATTCTGATATGCCCAGCACAAGCCAGATAAACACAGTATTTCCTGGGCTGTAGCTGGGAAGGACAATTGTGTGAAGGAGCAGCAGCCCGTTCCATAGTCAAGCACCATCATCGGTCTCTTGCACAGAGTACCCCATCCATGGGCAAACCATCCAGAACAAACAACAGCAAGACCGTCTCTGTGCTGGGCAGAGGCTCCTTGCCTGCTCCATGCCCCCAGCCCCTCTTATTCCACAAGCCAGAATGGGAAAAAAAGTCTCTTGTCTCGCCCTGTAATCTCGTTAGCCATCATTTTCCAAGTCCTGTCCTTGTGCTTGTGTGGTGGGCCACCCCCACTGAAGAAGCCACTTAGAAGGGAGCGTCATATTGGTCCAGGAATTCTTTGATGGGACCTGGGAGCTGGGTCATCTTCTCGTAGGAATCCAAGTGCCCGTTGACCGTCTTGCGACACAAATGCTGCAGGGTGGACACATTGGACGAGAGAGGGCGGCTCAGCACCAGCGGGATCTTCTCCCCACCTGAGTAGATGTAGTAGGCACGTTTGGGGTGCGGCGCCTGCCCTGGCTGCTGCTCGGGGAGGGGCATGTAGTGATGGACCAGCTTCAGGACGCAGTCAAAGCGAGGCACGGGCTGGCTGCTGTGAGGGTCACTCTGGAGAGAGAAGGTGCCCCCCTCGCACTGGATCCGCAGGTTTTTGGTGCCCGACTCGGTCTTGACGCTGAGGGTGAAGAAGTGCCGCTGGTCCGAGCTGTCTCGGATGAGGAAGGTTCCCGTGGGCTCGGCACTTAGCAGCAGGTTGGCCTGCCCACCTGTCACCGCGCTCCAGTAGAAGCCGCTCTCCTGCAGCTTGCGCACAGCGTTCACCACCAGCTGGTATTCGCTCTTGGAGCTGAAAGTCTTGAGGCGCAGGCTGGTGTCCAGCGGGTGGCTCATCCCGGCGCTGGGGAACTTGCTGTGGGTGACCATGGCGCAGGGAGCCAGCTTTCCCGAGCGATCGGGGCTGCTGCCGGATGCAGCGGCTTGCTAGAACACGGACCTGGCGAAGCAAAAGAGCAGGTGTTAAAAGACAAAGGGCAGCTTCTCCCCGGCAGCTCCGGCCCCGCAGGGCCCGGCCCACGCCATCCTCCTCCCCAGGCAAGCAGGGTTGCCAGCCGCCCGGAAACCTTCCGAGGCGTTCCCCCGAGTAGGTCGCTTGTGTCCTTGAGCCAGGCTCTGAAGCCAAGTGGCACCCCGGCTTGGGAGACCCCTAAGGGCGAACTCCCTCCGCTCTCCGTCCGCTGCACGTCGGAAAGCTCACCCCCGCGCTTTGCCCTTGGCTTCCCCGGCTCGCTTTTGCCTTTCCATGCAGGGACCTCTCCGGAGCGCACGGGCGAGCGAGCGCCCCATCCCGTCTAGGCGCTTGCAAAAGCCGAGCACTTGGCCGGCCAACTACGCCAGAGAGAGAGGGAAAGAAAGATGGGGGGGGAGGGGGTCAGCTCTGGGTCGGCGCTGGTTACCTGGGGAGCGACGAGAAAGGAGGCAGCGGGAAGCGGGGCGCCGGCAGCGCACGGCTTGTTGGCGAGGCTTTTGCAAGGGAAGCGGGAGCCCCTTTGGCTTTTTGCGCGCTTGGCTCGTCCTAATTGCAAAGCCGCCAGAGCCCCTGCTGGAGGTTTTTATAGAGCATCCGCCAGCCCCGCCTCCGGGTTCCAGGAACTCAGCTTCCTCGCGAGCGCGCCCTAGGCAGGCAGCCAGCGGCCAGCCCATTCCGGGCAGTGAGGCCTCGCTCACCACCCTCCCCCCCCCCACCCGCCGCCGCCTCGGTCCTGGCCGCGGCTGGAGCCCACCGCTTGGTTGAAAGAACTAGGAGGAGGGGTGCGAGTCACGTCTCCCCCGGCCAGAAAGGCTTGAGGAGGCTCGCGGCCGGGGGCAGCCACGTGGAGTTGCTCCGGGAAGATAGTCGGGTTCCGCGGGCACGCGTGAAAAGAAAGAGGCTTCCACGCGGGGCATGGTGCCTTGGGTGGGTGTGGGGCGCACAGCACACGTCTGTCAGAGAGGTAAAACCTCCCCACCGCCATCTGTCCCCCGCGATAAGAAAACCCTTCCCATAACGAATGGGACGAGTCCCGGCGAGGGTAGTAATTCGCAGCGCAATCCTAACCGTTCTACTCAGAAGTAAGCTCTGTTGAATTCAGTAGGGCTTCCTCCCGGATAAATTGGGTTAGGAGCGGAGCCTTAGCTTTCTTTATAGGCTTAATCTGTGAAGGGAGATGGGTGAAGCAGGCGATTTGCCTAGAATTTTGCTTAAGACTAAATGCATTCTTAAGAACAAACGATGAAGCCTCCTGGTTCAGTCAGGAATCTATCTAGCCCAGTCCCGACCCCCCCCCCCACTAGCTGCTTCTGGGGGCTCCAAAAGATCAGCATAATGGCAGTAGCTCCCCCCCCCATTGCCTCTCAGCAGCTGGTATTTCCCTCCCCCCCCCTTCCTGTTCAGGGTAAAGATCCTGACGATTATTCACTTCTAACTTAAATCAAACCACAGCTGGTTCTGCAGACCTTCCAGTCAGTGTTTTGAATTTCTTAGAAGACAGCCGTCATTTGAATATTGAACCCAGAAGTCAGATTTCCCAAGTATTGAAACTCCCTCCCCTCCCCCCGCTAGTTCCCCTTTCGTATTCCGCTAAACCCAGGTAAAAAAGGGAGAATCCGCGGCGGGGCCCAACGGACACTAGAGGGCGCTCTTTCCGCCCTGGCTGGGATGTAGCAGTGACGTTCGCCGGCCTCTGTTACACAAAAGGCAAGGGCTTGTCAGGTCACCGCAATGACACTACTTAGAGCACAGAGATCAAACCTGGGAGCTTTCTGGCATTGACGCAGTCCTCCAGCCGAGTTTCCTTCTGGACATTTGTGTGCTGCAAACCTCTTTGCTCCTGGAAGTCTAGGGTTGGGACATGGAAAGTACTTTCCCTCTGTAGCTGATTGGTTTCATCCTGGCCCTGGAGGTGGTGCTTCTGCATTGAAATCCTGCCCAGGTGCTGCAAAGCATCTCTCCTATCCCAGTGGACCTTGAGAAATCTCCCTATTTATCTAACTAAACATAGCTGTCCAGTAGCACGCACCATATTATGTACATGGGTGCTTAATATCGTAAACAGGTCACTCATATACCACAAATGGGTCTCTAGCAACAGGATGCTGTTTTTTTAAAAAATTCACTGGATTTACTGGAGAAATGATAAATCCAGATTAAATATGGGGGGGGAAATAAGGGCTAGCATTTTGATGCCAATAACATTGTGTAGACAGTGCAACAAACAAACAACAACTTATATGAAAAAGTACGCGGGTGGCGCTGTGGGGGTTAAACCACAGAGCCTAGGACTTGCCGATCAGAAGGTCGGCGGTTCGAATCCCCGCGACGGGGTGAGCTCCCGTTGCTCGGTCCCTGCTCCTGCCAACCTAGCAGTTCGAAAGCACATCAAAGTACAAGTAGATAAATAGGTACCGCTCTGGCGGGAAGGTAAACGGTGTTTCCGTGCGCTGCTCTGGTTCGCCAGAAGCGGCTTAGTCATGCTGGCCACATGACCCGGAAGCTGTATGCCGGCTCCCTCGGCCAATAAAGCGAGATCAGCACCGCAATCCCAGAGTCGGTCACAACTGGACCTAATGGTCAGGGGTCCCTTTACCTTTACCTTACCACCAACTCCATGATAAACACCCCTCCGGAAGCTCATTGAGGCTGCTTTGGAGCTCACACAGTAGTTGGGAAATTTTGCTTTTTGCTAGCCAGTTTTCTCCACCCTCACTGCCCCTCTGTGGGTAAAAATGGGAGCAGGAGATGGATTTCAAGGAGGCTGGAACAGCAATAGGATCCTGTTAATATAACAAGCACCCGGTATCGTATCCCTGGTCGGTTGTTGGTTTTCTGTTGCACAACTCCTTTCTTCAATGCTGCAATTAAAATAACTTTCCCCCTCCAGCTAACTCACCCACGTATCTGCAAAGCAACCTCAGGGATAAACATAAACATCTCTTAGGAGAGCTAAGCATACACAAAGCATCCAGGGGAATCCTTTTTGAGTAGATAGTTCCTTGTGCCGCTGTCACTCGGAAGGCATTTTCTCAAACTGAGCTGGATGATGACAGAACCATCTAAGTGTCAATGTTTTAAAGCGGTTGCTGCTCTGGAGAAGGTGTTCCTCCCTCCCCTCCTCCCATCTCCCCACCGCCACCCACTTAGCATTTTGTAGTGTTTGGCAGAGTCTCTTTGGGCCATGGAAAGGTTTGGGGTTTTAATTGTCCACAGAGTTCTAAGCTGTTTGTTGTCTTTTCAAACTTTCCGAGGGCTGCATTCCACCCTATCCTCACTTGCCCTTCCCAGAAGAGCTGCAGGGAAAAGAGGCGAACCCGTGCCGAAACGTTTGGGAACAAGAAGGGCAAGAACCTCTCCCCCTTTCTTGTCTTGACTCCGTGCCTGAGGACTCAGGGAAACAGGTCAGGTTACTGGATTAACCAATGACTATATGTGCTGCAGCTGCTGTTCTTAAAGGAAGGAGTTGGTTTTGCAAGAGGAACAAGAGATTGAGGTAGCCTCCCTACTAGAATGATGGGCTCCTTTAGGCTAGCTGCTGGAATGGGTGCTTAGGCCGGCTGCTGGAATTTTCCCATGATGACATGAGAATGCGATGTGTGAGCTGGGACAGCAAAGGAGTGCATGGGCTGGAGGCTTTTTGGTACAGTGGTTGTGCAAGAGCCACTTGGTGCAATAATTGTGTTTGCTGCAGGGATACCTGTGATTCCCACAGTGAGCGCATGAAGCTAGAAGGGTAGGTGTGTGGCCCGGAATGCTAGGATATATGTACTGGGTTCTCCCCAGTTGCCTGGCGTTCCCCAGGGCATGCCCACTGGGGTTATAGAGATGTAAAGCTGCCCTTTGCAGTTCAGGTATTTACTGCTGGAGGCCTGGGGCAGCTCTTAGGGTCTTCTCAGAAGATCAGTTTTAATAGCACAGTAAATTCACAGTTCTTACGTATTTGCGGCATGAGATCCAGATGTCTTCCCTCAAGGTAGCGTTTCTTTACATTTTTGCAACAGTCAAACTGCAGAGGGGGATGTGATTTCCTAACACGTTTGTGCAAGCGCTGTTTGGAATACTGCTACACGAATATTACAGTCACCATCACGAGTGTTAAATGGCATGGTTCACCTCCCCCCCACCTCTTGTGTAATTTTGTAATGTTGTAATGCCTTCACTTCTTTGTGGGTGTGCGTTTTCAGTGCTACTGGAGCTCTGCAGTGTTCAATGAGTGATCGTTGAAAGCAATGCTTTTTTTCAGACGGAGCGTGCCAGAGCGCAGTTCTGACACCTCTCAGGTGGGCGCCATTGTGGGCTAGTGCTCCCCCCCCACCTGATTCTTGCCTTTACGTACTTCTGAGAAGCCCAAAACGAACATTTCAAGTCAAAATGGAAGCTGGCCAGTGCGTCTACACTTTATTTTAGATCTGACTCCACCTAGCTCCTAGCTGCGATTGGTCAAGCTATGGGGCATGGCCAATTCATATTTCCTTTTCTTCACTCTGTTTCCCATGTAGTGATGGAAAGCTTTAAACTTTCCAGCTAGGCCTCTACCATTGCGCACGCACGCACACACATATTTGTGCAGGGGCCCTTCCAGCTCCTCTAGCCATCTTCCTGAATCTGAGAGAACGAGGGAGGCGAGGATGCATTTATTTGATCTGCACCAGAACCAGGGGCAACCCCCAAACCAGGGAGACAGCACAAGATCTACCCACCTTGGAAGAATGGCAGATGAAGGTGATAGACTATATGGGACTGGCAGAGATGACCGGCAGAATCCGAAACCAGGGAAGAGAAACAGCGGAAGAAGATTGGAAGAAATTCAAGGACTATCTTAAGAAATATTGTAAAATTAATGAATGTTAGAATGACGTTGGGTCAGAAAATATGTGGTTATCAGCGGTAATGGATAAGTAAAAAAGAAAAGAAAGGTCAAAAATTAACTGAAAAATAAGGGAAGGATTTGCTGAATAATAAATTAGAAACTGGAATACAGAAAGGGGAGGTATGAGGAAGTCGGGGAAGTAAGTTATAAGAAAATAAGGGTTGAAATTATACTTGTTTTTTATTCTCTGTTTGTCTATGCTATTGTATTGTATTGTTTTGTTGTTATAAAAAAACTTCTGAAACTAATAAAAAATTTATAAAAAACAACAACAAACAAACCAGGGAGACAGCTTGCAATGTGCTCCTCAAACTCTTTCCCCCCCCTTTTTTTAACAGCCTTTGCTTGCTTGCTTTTTTTTTTTTTTGGCCAAAGTTTGTCTTCCTTTTCATTCTCTTCATTGGGACAAGACTTCAATATTTTTGCCTCTAATAGCTTCTTTGATTTTGCTTGTTGACCATGCTGGCACCCTCTTGAACCTTATGGTACCTTTTCTGATCTGAGGTGAACGTCTAATATTTTGTTTTTAAACATTCCCCAAGCATTTTGGAGTGATCTGACCCTCTTGACCTTCCCTTTCAACTTCCTTTTTACCAATCTCGTCACTGTGAGGGAAGCTTCCTATTTGGAAATAAGATGTGACTGTGTTGGATTTT